CGGCTAGGGAACTCATTCATCCCGTTATGCCTGGGGCTTACTCTCGAGCACCACCAGCTGCCGCTCAACTGCTAGAATATGATAAGCAGAAATACATGACCGAAAAAGACAAGGGAGACTAGATTGGTCATTCCTGGCTTATTCACCGTCATCAGCCGGCCATACCGAAATTAAGGTCATGATACTCATGAGGCTCCAACAAACCAACTGTTGATTAGAAGTCCAACACCGTAACATTTGAGCCACGGGTATGCAGCGCACAGTGTGAACGTAAGGCAGTTGCTAGTTGACGGAAAACTTGCAACTGAATGTCAGACATAACAACCATCAAGCTGTACCTGAACGCTAACTAGAAACCAGCAACAGCGAATACACCAGCGACTAGGCCTCTACCTCAAGATTAATCGGTCATTATGTAGGATACTTCAAGTTATTACGTCGTAGTGCCCTCTAGTCTGAGACTCGAAAGTGTTTTACTCGGAGAATCTGACAGATGTAGAGTCCAAGCACCAACGTCTTAGCCGATAATACTTCTTAAACCACGCGACCGCATGCAAGTATGTACTCTGGGTCGGATGTCTCGCGTAAAAAGGAAAGCACAGAGCCCGTTCTCCAATATCGATGAACAGAGCCAGCTGAAGGGTCGCCGATGTGTCCAACCCATCCTTGTTGCACAACAAAAGAAAGTCGCTGCAACTAACGTTTGGGTAGTTGACTACCCAATGCACAATAATTAGGACACACCTTTCGAAGTAAAAACCATACCAGTAAGTAGAATATTTGACAGAACCTAATACTGTGCGGATGCCTTGTTGTGGTTGCAACACTTAAACTAACATCAAGAAACATGCATGTTTTGATGTTGAGAAGCAGGCGTGATCGCTGGGACAAGCACTTGATTCCCCTGACGTTTCGGATTCCCTCGCAGATCTATCGTCAGAGGCAATAGCCGAAACAGATACTCCATACACAGAGTTTAACTATTTATAGAATACAGGCACTATGCTACCGCATACCTATGACAATTAACGGCCCCTCCCTATCGAGGACAGTTGTCCGCTTATGCGCTAATTGCTTGATGGTCGGCCTGCGGAACTTCCATCACCCATGATTGGCCTGGACGTTATAATTGCTCGGACGTCTGGTTCCCTGGCGCTAGGAGACGCGTTCGCCTGTGCGCTCCCCAAGTGGATAATTACTTTGGCCTAACTGAGCCTGAGCACCGAATATGGGTTGAGTGTTGTAACGGTGACTTCTATGTTGTGCCACCGTCTAATTACGTTCTTTGGAAACCCAAGGAAGAACACAATAAGAAGAGCGTAACTTTTGAATCCACCCGGAAGAGGGTTCATTGTGCACGCAACCCGGCGTTGCTTTCTCGGGTGGCAGTTGTCGCTGGTTGATCTCCAGCGCGCTGAATGTCCCCGC